CAAACCCGTTTGCCTGAAGTCCTGCCTCCTCCCGGCCCAGGCCTCGTGAGCAAAGTGTGAGCATGTTTGTATGCCTCGTGAGTCAGCCCAAGGTGCAGCTCTCCCACTCTAGTTTGTCCAGGGTTTTGCGGGGAAATGGCCGGGGCAAGGGTGTGTGCGTGGCAGCTGCTCCCCCTGATGACCACAGGAGGGTCTTCCCGGGGCCTCCCTCTGTTCAGCGCTCCGCCTGCCAGCGTCGAAGTCAAGAGTGCCAAGGATGTGCTTTCTAGAGACCGGCCAGGTTCACTGTGGCTTCTTCTTCCTCCTCCTCCCCAGAGTCACCGGAACCTCTCTCAGCTGCCCAACTTTGCCTTCTCCGTCCCTCTGGCCAATTTCTTTCTGAGCCAGCAGGACGATATCTCAGAAGCCGAGTCCAGCCGAGCCCACGAGGAAGCCTCCAGCCTCATTCGGCAGGCACTGGTCATGTTTCCAAGCGGTGAGTCAGGAGTGGTGGTAGGTAGTGCTCCCTCTAAGCTGAGTGAGTGTGAGCTACCTCGTAGGTTTTTTAGCCTCCGGCGCTCACATTTTTGTCTCCACTCAGGAAGGACGGGGCTCCAGAGCAAACTAATTTACGCAGCGGCCAAGTCACCCACTCACAACTTTCATGCCATTATGCTCAAAAAGCAGAATTTTTGCTCACAAGACTCCATGACTTAGAGGGAGAATTGGACCAGTGTTCTCTCCAAGCTGAGTTCGTGTGAGCTAGCTTACAGGTTTTTTAGCCTCCGGCTCACACATTATTTGTCTTAGCCCAGGAAGCACGGGGCTCCAGAGCAAACTAATTTACGCAGCGGCCAAGTCACCCACTCACAACTTTCATGCCATTATGCTCAAAAAGCAGAATTTTTGCTCCCAAGACTCCACAGCTTAGAGGGAGCATTGGGGCCATATAGATACTTGGCTGGACCCTGGAAGGGAAGCCGGAGGGCTGTCTATGCCCAGAGCCCCAGGAATACACCTTCTGGGACCCCACGCAACAGAGAGCTTAACGTGGACGTGGGGGCCGGATCACTTGAGAAATAGAAACAAAATAGAGATGATGAGAAGGAGGGGGGCGCACTGGCCACTCCGGGGTGGGGGTGGGGGGTGTCTTGGCCCATCAAAGAGAGGCTGAATTTCTTCGTCCCCAGAGGGAGGTCTGCAGTGGAAGAAGGCGCTTGGGGAGGGGGCCAGGTCTCCTTCCTCGGGGTTTCCCCCAGCAGTCGGGCTGCCCTCTGCGGGGGCGGAGGGGGAGGGCTCTTTTGAGAGCCAGAGAAGTCTCGGGGGGGGGGCAGGAGGGTGGGGTGGGACTTCAGCTGGTTGCCTGCAACTTGATAAAAGCAGCCCCCGCTCAGCAAAGGGGTGGGAGAAGAAGGTGTCACGTGGATTCATGCCCCCTGGGAAGAAAGAGCCAGTGATGTGGTGCCTGTCCGCCCGCCCGGGTTGCCCTTCTCTGTGAATGAAGCCCTGTGTCTTCCCACTGCGTGGCTGGCTCAGGAAGACAGCAGCAGCAGCAGCACCACGAAACCACAGATGAGGGCATCTGCTTTCATCCCCGTTTCTCGTGACCCACTCTCGGTGTTGCTGGCCACGCCTGCCCTCCAGGGCGCTGTCCGGATGTAGACAGCTGCTGCACATGAGGGCCCCCTCCTCATTGGCACCCTGCTGTTGCTGCTGCCGCCACTTTCACCCTGGGGAGGGGACAGGCCAACTTTCCTTCACCCCACCCCACCCTTCGTGTTTGCTGAACAAACAACTGTTTGGCTTTGTAGGCGAGAATATCCATTGCACCGAAGGCGAAGGGTGTCCAGTTTTTGTGTACCCACGACAAAGAACATTCTTTCAGAGTTTCTTGGCACAGTGGCTTAAACACTGGCGGGACACGGGGGTTGTTGGCTGTGTTTTCCTTGCTTCCATTTAATTGGTTGGGCCAAGAAGTGCAGCTGCCCATGTGACTGGATCCTATTCCTGGTGGATTCCGTCGGCTCAGAGCCTGGTTTGAGGGAAGGTCTTTGGGGGCTCTGCCTGTTTGATGAGGCCTGCGTTCCACCCCCACGGCCCCATCACTAGCCCAGTGCTCTGTCTATCTAGTACTGCTCATACGGCAATCACCTTAAGCAAAAATCAGAACCAAAGAAAATATTTTTAAAAGACCTTAGTATTATTTCTCTTCCATTTGATTATTGCCAGTTTGGTGTCGTGGTTAAGTGCGCGGACTCTAATCTGGGAGGACCGGGTTTGATTCCCCACTCCGCCACTTGCACCTGGCTGGATGACCTTGGGCAAGCTGTAGTTCTGATAAGAGCTGTCCTTGAAAAAGAGCAGTTTCTGTCAAGAGCTCTCTCAGCCCCACCTACCTCACAGGGTGTCTGTTGTGGGGAGGGGGGAAAAGGAGTTTGTCAGTTGCTCGGAGACTCCTTTGGGTAGTGAAGGGCGTGGTATAAATCCAATCTCTTCTTCTTCTTCTTCTTCTTCTATTGCGCCTATGAATTTTGCCACTGAGAGGGTGATCATTGGCATCCGATAGTGGCCGTGCCACCTAGGCTTGCACATTTAGCATTTCCGTACCTTTAAGTAAAGGGGTGACTAAATGTGCTGTTTTAGGAGCCGTTCCCAACAGTCAGGGCAGAACCTGCCTGGGACTGGCTCGTTCAGCCTCCAGGAGCTGCAGCTCCTCGGCAGGGCTCTTCCCTGACTCTTCGTCCCCCTTGCAGTGCTGATGCCTCTGCTGGACCTCTGCAGCGTGCAGCCGGATGCGACGGTGGCTTCCCACGCCTTCTTTGGACCAAATGCCCAGCTCAGGTACGGCACGCGTTTGGTGATCCTGAGGACGTTTGCATCCAGCCGGGCGTGAAGCGACGCAGTTGGAGCTCAGCTGCCGGTGGGGAGGGGCCCCGGGGCTCAGTGGCAGAGCGTCTGCTTGGCAGGCCGGGCGGTCCCCCGGCTTCACTCCTGGCACCTCCCGTTGAAGAGACCAGGCGATGCGAAAAGCCTCTGCCCGATCCCCCCTAGCAGCCTGAGCAGGCAGTGCTGAGCTTGTGGGACCGAGGGTCTGGTTCCGTGGAAGGCAGCTCCATGCAAGCTGAGGCTCCTTGGAGTCAGGTTTGGAAGTCTGATCGGGGGGGGGGGGGGGGGGGGTTTCGGAAAGGGAGGTGCTTCAGAAACAGGGCGGGATGCGGGGAGGATTTGCCTGGCCATACCTGGGAGACCAATCCGGGGGAGGGGCCGCCATCCGCAGCCAAGCTCTGCTCTGTCTCTGGCTGCCCGGTGGCAGAATCCTTCCCCGGGGCTTCCCCCCCCTCCTCCAGCCTCCTCTTTGCCCACCCCTGCAGTTCGCCTCCTGCCCTGAACCAGCTGGTGGCGCTCTACGTGGGGCGCACGCACGCCCTGTGGAAGGACCCGGCGGTCATGGCCTGGCTGGAGACCAACGTGCACGAAGTCCTGCGGGTGGTGGATGCCCACAGCCCCGTCTTGGAGGAGGCCGAGCAGAAGTGAGTCTGGCTGAGTCTGTCGGGACGGAGCTGCCCTGGCTGGCGTGTTTCCCCGCTCTCGTGCAGAGGGCTCCCTGCCACGGTTCTGGCCGTTGGCCCCATTCCGGAGCCAGTTTGGTGTGGTGGTGAAGTGCGTGGACTCTAATCTGGGAGAACTGGGTTTGATTCCTCACTCCTCCACTTGCAGCTGCTGGGTGACCTGGGGCAAGCCCTAGTTCTGACAAGAGCTGTCCTTGAAAGGGCAGGTTCTCTCAGAGCTCTCTCAGCCCCACCCACCTCCCAGGGTGTCTGTTGTGGGGAGGGGAAGGAGTTTGTAAGCCACCCTGAGACTTCTCTGGGTAGTGAAGGGTGGGGTAGAAATCCAATCTCTTCTCCTCTTCTTCATTGCATCCTGCCCCCTTGTGCTGCGAGGAGACTGAGCCGAGGGGCCATAGCAGACTGTGTTGTGCAGCCGCTCGCCCTGGGAGGGGACTCCGTCTGCCACCTACTTTGCTGGGGTTGGGGCCCTGAAACTGATTTTTTTATTTGGGTCTCTCCCAAGTCAGCCAGGCTTTGCCGTCTGCAAGGTCACAGGGCAGCTGGTTCTGGCGGCCTGGAGCCAGCCCTGGAGGGCCCCGGCAAAAGGTTCGAAGGAAGCCTTTGAGGAAACAGAGCTGGCCAAGAGAAGAGGTCATGTGTGTTCCACGGTTCTCTTGCTGAAGCCGCTGGTTGACACTTTCTTTCCCGTTGGGTCTGCAGGCGGAAGGTGCGGTACCAGAGTGCTCCTAGGAACATCTACCGCCATGTGATCCTCTCAGAGATCAGGGAAGCCACTGCAGCGCTGCCTCCGGTGAGGGGTCAAAGTGGGGTATTGTTGGCACCTGGGCCGGGCACCCCTCCTTCCTTGCCCTGACTCCCGAGCCTCCCCCTGGCCCTTCTGGCCTTGCTGCTGCATCCCAGGCAGGCCCATCTTGAGTAGGCTTTGCCCAGCCCTGTTGCCGGAGGTCTGGTCACAGGAGGTGTCTGGGATTGTTCCAGAAGCCTCAGCCGTGCCCCTGAGCTGCGGCCTCTCCCCAGAGTCCGCCTCCAGAGCTGGTTCGGCTGCTGCTTGCCCAGAAGAAAGCCACGCCCGCAAGAGGGCTCAGGGGTCTTGGCAGCTGGCCTCTCTCCTGTGCATCCAGCATAGCCCAGAGTGCCCCGGGGGGCCAGAGTGGCACTGAGCGGCAGAAGCAGAGCTGACTGGGGGAGGGGCGCTGCAGGGAGAGGGAGGGGGGGGAGGCGGGGAGGAGGCTGCATCCAGGCCACGGAGGAATCATCGCAGAAGGAAGTGGGCAGTGGTCCCTGGCAAACCGGCCTGGAGAGGAGTGGCGGGTGGGGGCGAGGGGGAAATGGCTCTGGTTTTCTACCACAGCTCTGACCTGGTCGTTGTTTGCGTCCCTCTCTAAAGGAAGTGACTTCTCAGCCTATCATGGGGTTTGATCCGCTGCCGCCTCTGGACTCCATTGTGTCCTACACTCGCCCAGAAAGGTAGCCCTTGTTGCTGTGCCTCAGTTGTCTCTTTGGGGGGGGGGGGGGCAGGGGGGGGGCGGGGCCTGGATGCTGAGTGCCTCCCCGGGGCTGGACTTGCCCAGGACTTTCTAAGCCTTCCTCTCTTTGACCTGAGTCAGGAGTGGCAACCATTTCGGGTGTCCCTCCAAACATTGTCCCTCCTGTAGAGTGAGTACTTCTCCCGAGTACAGACCCACCTGCGGAAAGGTGTATCCTGCCACCTTTTTGTGGGAAGGGTCGAGATCCGTGCACGACCCAACTTGCTGTGCCTGTCTCCCCTTTTGCAGGGCAGATCGTCCAGCCAACGAAAGCGCTTTGTCCCTCTTCTTTCGCTCGCTGCTGCCAAACTTCAACTTACAGGTATCTGGCACGTGGCAGCCACTGGGCTGAGCCCAAAGCCTGTTTATGTCTCCATCTTCGGGGGGGGGGGGGGCGGGGAGGCCTGGCAGTTGTTGTTGCACCTCCCGTGCACCATGCAGCAGCCCGGTCAGGGTGCAGCGAGTCAGTCAAATTCTCTTAGCTCCCAGATGTCCTGCAGGCTGTGCTAAGAGAAGGGGTGGTTAGGGTTCCTATAGAAGAGAGATGGGCATCTGGTGGCCTGCAGGGCAAATTTTGGTTTGGGTGCAGGAAAGATATTTTGCCCAGTCTCAGCAGTGAGTTAAAACCGCCTTGAGTCCGTCACGTGCGTAGTCTCATGCAGCTGTTTGTCCCTTTTGGGAGGGGGGCGTGTCTTTGGGAGAGCGCTTGTTGCCTTGGCTTCCCTTGGGGCACAGGCAATGCTCCCTCTAAGCTGTGGAGTCTTGTGAGCAAAAGTTCAACTTGGTGAGCTGCCGGCATTAAAGTTGTGAGCGGGCGATTTGGCTACTGCATAAATCAGCTTGCTCTGGAGCCATCCCTTCTTGAGCTAAGACAAAAATGTGAGCGTCGGAGGCTAAAAAACTGTGAGCTGGCTCACACTCACTCAGCTTAGAGGGAACACTGGGCCCAGGGGCCCTAAGGTCAGGCTCCTTGAAGGGCTGCAGAGGATGTAGGGCTTGGCTTCAGACACAGGAAGGGAAAAGAAGCTCTCGGTCTTCTGGACCCCATGTACCGGTGGGCACATCCAGGCCAACTGATTGGTTGTTCTTTGGGGCTGGCGTTGGGAGGGGTTGGCGTCCACACAAGCAGAAGTGGGGGTCCACGTCAGCAGTGGGCTGAGGACCAGACAAGGGGAAATGGTAGCTAAGCAGGTTATGTCTTGGCTCACTGCTCCGGCCCTGACGAGGTTTATGTAGGGCGTCCAGCCAACTGGGAGAGGAAGTGGGGCTCCTGTATCCGTCTTCTTGCTTTTGTCTGCCCCCCCCCTCCCCAGACAGAGGCAACTGCCAGCTGCTCTGCCCTCCTCCGGGGCGCAGACGTCTCATGGTGTGTTGCCTTTCAGGGAGAAGTCGGAGCTGCTGGCGCAGAGGAGCCGGGTGCAGGGCAGGACCTGAACCAGGGGGTGAACAGGCTGATGGCAGCCATGCGGGACATGCTGGCCAACATCCAGTTCCAGGAGCCGCCGCGTGACGACAATCCTGAGGGGGACGGTGGGGAGTGGGACTGACCCCGAGCCCCCGGCCCCCCCTCCCCTGTAACCTCCCTTGTTGTGTAATAAACAGGCCAAAGCAGCAGGAGGAAGAGGAGGGGGGGTCTCTGTGCCTGCCCCACTCACACGCTGGATCCTCTGGCTCAGGGGTGGAGCAGGCGCTTTGCGTGGAGAGCGACTTCCCGGCACAGAGGCCGTTGAGCTAAGTGGACCCCCGGGAATAAGGGCTCCGGGCTCCGTGGTGGAGGCCCTGCTCCACATGCGGGGAGTTCTGGGTGCAAGCGGAGGTCTGGGGAGGCACCGATGCTTCTCCTGTGTCCCCTCACCTCACTTTGCATCTCCAGAGAGGCTCATGGAGGAAATGTTGCCTTGAGATCCATAGCCTGTCCCATCCCAAGAGTTTGTGCAGTGATGCTGATTCTGCTCGATGAGGCAGAGGGGTGTAGCAGTTAGGCGGTGTGGGCCTGGGTTCACATCTGTACTGGCGGTGTGGGCCTGGGTTCACACCTGTACTTGGTCCCAGTCTCTTTCTTGCAGGGTAGTTGTGAGTATAAAATGGTGAAGGAAGAGAGGTATGTGTCCCTCCCGCCTTTGGAGGGCAGGTGCAATGCAACCACACTGGGTGAAGTTGGGGGTCGCTTTTAGAGGCCCAGAAAATCCCCTGGCTGTCATGCAAGCTCTGTTGGGTACTTGGCCGAAGTAGGGAGTGGAGGTGGTCAACTAAATTCTCGGTCAGTAACGTGCTGGCACTGCGAGGGCGGCCACTGCTCCTCGGTCTGTGGGTATGTTCCTGGTTTTCCTCTTCTGAACATCCGACGCAGCACCTGGGGGACCACCTGCTGGTGCAGCTCACGTGAGCAGCAGTTCTGCACTGACTGTGACTACCGAGAGAGGGAAGCTCCCTGCACAGAAAGAGCCGCTGTGCTGGAAGTCTGGCCGGGCCTGTGAAGCCACCCAAATCTTTACCTTGGGGTCCAGCTGCCCTGGGAAGATGGGTGCTACAGTCATCCCAAAGCCAGGATTATTTTCCTTTCTGAGGAAATGTTGGTCTTCATGTGGAAGGTCAAACAAGGTATGGATAACAGGCACAGTAAACTAAATAAATCAGACCCGAAAGAAACTGCAATAGTGCGCTAAATATCCATATGGTACAATATATTATTCAATGTTCACAGAATCTCAACAAGTGTACAAAAATAAGTTTAAAGGATCATCATGGTAGAATTCATAGCTGTTAACGATGTTCTCCGGAATGACGTATCGTTTCATTGGGACTTCTTCTGAACAACAACGTCTCTTTACTGGTACAACATCAGTTGATGTCTGGAGAGTAGCCTCTTCTTCAAAGACTTCCAAACTAGGTGGCTAGTAGCCTTCCGACAAATTTGCCCGTTCAGAACGCATTGAGCTAAATGACTACAATAGTTTGGAAGCCTTTGAAGAGGAGGCTACTGTCCAGACATCAACTGATGTTGTACCAGTGAAGAGACATCGTTGTTCAGAGAAAGTCCCAACAAAACAATACATCATTCCGGAGAACATCGTTAACAACTGTGAATTCTCCCATGATGATACTTTAAACTTATTTTTGTACACTTGTTGAGATTCTGTGAACACTGAATAATATATTGTATATCATACAGATATTTAGCGCACTACTGCAGTTTCCTTCGGGTCTGATTTATTTAGAAGGTCAAAGAAGAGCATGAATCCATAGGGCCTTTTCTAAATCGGGAGAATTTATGGGGGGAGGGGGGATCTGTTACCATAGCTTAAGCTTTCTTGAAGAGCTGTTCTTTTAGTTTGGCACCTTCCACCCACCCAGATTAGGAGAGCTGTGAAATTTCTGGGTTTGAGGGGAGGAAGGTGTGGCCGTTGCCAAGGTGAAGTCTAGTGCCTTAACTTCGTTGTGTTCGTCAGGTTTAATTTTAAAATCAAAACATTTTGGACATTTTTGTTTTAAAATTTTGTCTCTCACAAAGTTGTGTAGAATTTCAATTTTGCTTTCTCCCGTGTTGGGTTGGCATGAGAACTTGCAAACCAAGTAGGCGGATGAATTTCGTGTTTGGTGGGGGGAAGCCGGGTGTAACAGAACAGCCTTTTTCTTGCTTCTGGGACTCAGGCAGCCCCTTTGCCAGGGTCAGGACAAGTCAACTCACAGTCCTTGAAGCTGTTAGGAAGGATGAATGAAAGCTGAAGGTCAGGAAGGGTTAAATGTCCAGCCTGGACAGTCTTGTGAAGGCAGAGTTGCTGAGGGTGAAGAGCGCCTTGCCCCAATCCCTAATGCCCCAGGAGATATTTCCTGGAGAATTAGAAAAGGGGGAGATGGACTCAAGGGACTCAGTGCTCCCTCTAAGCTGCAGAGTCTTGTGACCAAAAATTCTACTTGGTGAACGACTGGCATTAAAGTTGTGAGCCAGCGATTTGGTTACTGCTTCAATTAGTTTGCCCTGGAGTCATCCTTCCTGAGCTGAGACAAAAATCTGTGAGTCGGAGGCTAAAAGACTGTGTGCTAGCTCACACTCACTCAGCTTAGGGGGAACACTGGTTGCAGTGGAAGAAAAAGACCATCCTCAAGTGACAGAAAGGCAGCCCAAGCGGGTGCTGGAGATAGCAGCTGAGAATGCGGCTGGGACTGAAATGGGATCAGAAGCCGCTCCTGAGCCACCCCGCGTTTCCCCTTTTCCACTCGTCCGACGTCAAGCCGGAAGCCTTTTCAGAACTGCTTCTGAGGACGTGGCAGCGCTCCCTCCTGGCAAGCCGGCCCTGCCCTTGTGCCCAGTGTGCTTGGCTCCCGGGCGCTGGTCCTTCAGCCTCTGATGCTGGAAGGTGGAACGGAGCTCTCCTGATCGGAGCCAAGTGCCAGGGAGGGCCTCTGCCAGCTTCTCCTGGCACTGAGGCCAAAGCGGCGCCCCTCCTGTTCCGTGTTCACACTTTGAAGTATAGCCTGTTGCAGCTCGGCTCTGAAAGGCCTCATTGATGAGGCTCGAAATACTTTTGCAGCCGGCTGGCCTAGAGGCAGTCCGGCAGCGTCCAGAGAGAGAGAAAGAGAGAGATGTTCATTCAACAGCTACTCTTGTTTGTTTGCCTCTCTCCGGCACCAGGAATGGCTGTTGCTTGAATGCAAGCGCCACTCCTGAAGTTTTCTAGGCAGCAGCAATTCTTGGAGTAATTGATGAAATGCATTTTAAGGGACCAAAGTGGTGCCTTTCCACTGAGTTGGCTCCACATTTTAAAAATATCTTATGCTGATGTGCACTGCAGGTGCTATATTGGAAGGCTTCCTTCTCTCGCAGGGGAGAGAATGCCTCTTTTAGAGGGGCAGCTGGCGTCTACCAACAGAGCATTTATTTTCTTCAAGTACTGTTCTCATGTGCATATTCAATGGATTAAAGCTCCTGATCTTGTTGATTCCGATTTTGTTACTCAGAACAGGAGGTAGCCCTGCAGTTCCTGAGAGGCCCAGAGAAGGGGATGTTTTGTGCCCCCCCCACTCCTTCTTTTTAGAATTATTATTATTATGAAGTTACAAGAAACTACAAACTTAACGATACAAAAAAGTGTGGTACAATTACAGTATGTGAGGTATACAGATAGCAGTAGAACGATAACCGTGATAATGAGGAAACATTAAAAAAAACCAAGCAATTTAGAACTTTGCTAATAGGAGACACGCTTGTCAACAAAAAATCGTAAAGCTCAGAGGCACTCTGCCTGCTAACCTGCGATTTCCTAGGTAGGTAGGTAGGTAGAGGTTTATTGTATAAAGCCATTGGCCGTTACAAAATACAGAATACAGCAAGACACTGATAAAAAGTTAAAAACCACTATTACAATCCAGGTTAAAATTGACTACCAATCATTAATAAAAAGATAATACAGATTTGGGCACCTTCAAGTAACCTGCCCCTTAGATCTAATCTTAGATGCTGCTGAAGCAAACAAGGAGACTCTGTGGGATAGATAAGAATCATTATCTGAAAGCACGAGCGCCGTCTTTTCAACTTCTGAGTATGCTTGCGTGGCCCATAGAAATCCTGCTAAAAATTTCTCTCTTGGAGTGCTGTATAGTGGACAGTAAAGCATGTCGTGAGGAAGGTTCTCCACCACCGGTTAACTAGGTTGGACAATGCAAACTGGGGAGGAAAACTGACCCTGCACCGTCCCAAGGAAGTGGTGGAGAAGAGTAGAAAAGAAGAGATTAGAGGTGAAGTAGTTGACGGTAAGCCAAAGTTTGGAGGTGTGAGGTCTTGCTTAGGAATCTTGTCAAAATCCCCCCCCCCCCCGCTCACTCCTGTGATGCCTGAGCGGCCTCCACCGGCAAGGAGGCTGCTCTGCTGACGAAATAGCACCTTGCAGGTCAACAAGGTTTTCAGGGTTCAAAGCTCTCAAGTCTGGCAGCGGAAGCCTTGCACGCACGCATGCCCCAAGAACCTTGTTGGTCTCTCAGGTGCTCGTGGACTCGGATCTAGCCGTTTGCTGTAGACCAGCAGGGCTCCCCTGTGCAACGGCTCTCCTGGGAGACTTGACGGCGAGAGTGACATACGTGGCAGGAAACGTCCTTCTGTGTTTCCCACAAGGCATCTGGTCCCGTTGATGGTTCAGTGATGCCTGTGCTGTGATCCTTGGAAAGGCTAAAGTGATCAGAACTGAAATGATAATTATTGCTGAATAAACTATGCTGATACATCCAGCAACTTGCTTGCGGCTTCTTTTGCTCCGGGGGGCGGGGCAAGGCCTGTGGGAAGCTGGAGCAGCGTTGGGCCTCTGTTCCTACGGGGAACCTCAAAGAGCACACCTTGCTTGACCGTGGGGGGGTGGGGGAGCAGTATCCATCCAGGTTCCACGTCTACATTTTGCCTTGTAGCCCAAGTCCAGTGTGAACTCCGAGGCACCCGGCTCAGCGGGCTGCCAGGGCCTGTGGGCGTTGTTCCACCAGAGCGTTGCTCTGACTGGCTGTCCTGTGTTTCTGTCTGTGGACTCATGGGGCAGGCTGAGCCCCTGAAGGCCTGGGGCCCTTCTTACATTACAGCCCTGTTCCCTTCACAGGGTTTGAGTCCCGTCTCTCACAGCCCTAGCCAGACACGAGGCTTGCAGGGCCAAGTCATCAACAGGCAAGAACACAAGAAAAACGGAGGGAGCTTGAGCACTCCTGCTTTGTGGCAGGAAAACTGGCTCTGATCTCCAGGAGTGCTGCCCTCGACATCCAAAGGGACCCAGGCCAGCTGCCACTGCCATGTTTTATCTGCAGCCCGTGGTCAAAGAAGCCCCCCCCCCCTTGCATCTGGCCCCTACGACTGTCCTGCTCCTTGCAGGGTCCGTTTGGTGCCTGGGGTGGGTTCTGTCCGTTCCTTTTGCAAGGGCTGAGGAGTGTGGCGGGCAGGTCCAAGCTCGTTTGCACAGAAGCAGCTGCCTGTTTGGGCAACCTAATGGGAATCTGGAGGATCCAGCCTCAGAGGGGGGTTGTGATCATTCTAATGTACTTGCGGTAGGAAATCTGTGTGAATAAGTAACGCGGGCCATGATCAGGCTAGGCCATTCTCCTGAGCTCTCGGAAGCTAAGCAGGGCCGGCCCTGGTTAGTCCTTGGGTGGGAGACCACCAAGGAAGTCCTGGGTTGCTGGGCAGAGGCAGGCCCTGGCAAAACAGCTCTCAACGTCTCTTGCCTGCATGGGGGCTCCCCTGCAGGCTGGCCTTGGGCACAGCTCGGCCACTCAGCAGCTGTCTGCATAGTTGCTCTGCTGCCCTGGGGGCTGGGACCAAGGGAGGTGGTCCCTTCTTGTATATAAAATTCATGTTTGTCTTTGCGATTGCCCGTGACGAGGAGAGTCATCTTAACATAGATGCACACATACACACAGAGGGACATGATTTGTTGTGGGGGTTTTCCTTGGGACCTTCCCTTCCGCCTTGATTTTTTGGCCCCCCTGAAGGCAGCCCGCCCATTCTTCACGGAGGTTCACCCATAACATAAGCACTGCTTATTTAGGTCGTCTCAGTGTTGGAAGGGACGCCCAGGGTCATCTGGTCCAGCCCCCTGCCAAGGCAGGAACGACGGCTGCAATGTGCCCAACAAGTAGGCATCCAATCGATAAAAACCTCCAGCTATGAAGAATCCACCACCTCACAAGGGAACCTGTTCCAGTGTTAAACGCACCTCGCCACCAGGGAGTTCTTTCTCAAGCTTACATGAAACCTCTTTTGCTGCAGTTTACATCCATTAGCCTGACTTTAGGCCGTTAAGGTGTTCAAACATCTTCATGGTGGAAAGGTACTATTAAGTTTTGACTGTGAATTCCCCCCACCCGGTGATTTTAGTGTCCAAGAAGCCCCATGAAGTTGCCGCAGCAGCAAGGGGTCCCATTTCATTGGTGTAATGGTTAAGTGCCCGGACTCTGATCTGGGAGATCCGGGTTTGATTCCCCCCACTCCTCCACTTGCTGCCAGCTGGGTGACCTTGGGCAAGCCGTAGTTCTGATAAGAGCTGTTCTTGAAAAAGAGCAGTTTCTGTCAAGAGCTCTCTCAGCCCCGCCTGCCTCACAGGGTGTCTGTTGTGGGGAGGGGAGGGGAAGGGAAAGGAGTCTGTAAGCTGCTCTGAGACACCTTCGGGTAGTGAAGGGCGGGGTATAAATCCAATCTCCTCCTCCACTTCTTCCTCTTCCTCCTCTTCCTTCTCCCAGTCCGACATCACAGTTGTGCTGCCATGTCTACCACCACTTGGGGCCCACATCCATAACCGTTTTCTGCCCCCCCACTGGCTCTGGCTGTTCTCTTTCCCCACTGCTGGTTCTGGTTCACCAGGCCACTGAGATGGTTTACTGGAGCAACCTGAAGGAGGAGACCAGGAGGATAAAAACGGGGCCTTGGGATTGACCCTGAGGCACACTTAAGGTGCCGTGCTCCCCTGGAAGGCCCGGGCTAGCTTGACCTTGTCAGACCTTGGACGCTTGGCAGGGTTGGCCCTGGTCAGTTATTGGTTGGGAGGCCACCAAGGAAGCCCAGGGTTGTCAAGCAGAGGCAGGCAATGGCCAACCACCTCTGAACATTCCTTGCCTTGAAAACGCTATGGGGTGGCCGTAAGTCAGTTGGGAACATAAGAACATCAGAGAAGCCAATGCTGGATCAGGCCAAAGGCCCATCCAGTCCAACACTCTGTGTCACACAGTGGCCAGAAATACCAGGTGCCCTCAGGAGGTCCAGCAGCGGGACTGGGACACTGGAAGCCCTCCCACTGTTGCTCCTCCCCAAGCACCGAGAATACAGAGCATCCCTTGCCCCAGACCGAGAGTTCCTATCTATACCTTGCGGCTAATAGCCACTGATGGACCTCTGCTCCAGATGCTTATCTAATTCCCTCTTGAAGCCATCCATGCTTGTAGCCGATGCCACCTCCTGTGGCAGTGAATTCCATGTGTTAATCACTCTTTGGGTGAAGAAGGACTTCCTTTTATCTGTTCTAACACGACCGTTCAGCAATTTCATTGAGTCCCCACTTGAGTTCTTGTATTGTGAGAAAGGGAGAAAAGGACTTCTTTCCCGACCTGCTCTATCCCATGCATAATCTTATAAACCTCGATCACGTCACCCCTCAGCCGTCGTTTCTCCAAGCTAAAGAGCCCCAAGTGCTTTAACCTGTCTTCATAGGGAAAGTGTTCCAACCCTTTTATCATTCAAGTTGCCCTTGTGACTTAGTGAGACTCCTCCACCACCACCAGCACCACCACATTTAAGGTGCAGTGGACTCGGCAGTAGTAAGGTCATGAGAGAGAATGTTCTAGAAATTGCTGGCCTAAATGGATGGGACAATATGTCGCCTGCGGAGGGGGTGACAGTGCCAGGCATGGTACTCTAAGGTCTGGGCTGAGACTGGCCCATGCCAGAATGTACCCCACCTCAGGGACAAAGAAGGTTGGGATAATCTAGTTCCCCCGCAGTGAAGGCACCTGCAGTCCAGACACTGAGGCCTCCTACGGAAGACTCAACAGCCATGGAGAGTCATGAGTTGCTGCTGGTCCCCCCCTTGCTTTCCAGGCCGTGGAGTGTGGAGGGCCAGGCCGTGGAGTGTGGAGGGCACCATGCCATGGGGACAGGAATGAAGGAGAAGACTCCCCCATGCTTCAAGGGCCGTTTCATAAGCTCTCTAGGCGGCTCAAAGCGCGTGCCGCCTGAGTTGCGATCATGTGGCTCACCCTCCGCCCCGTTGCCCAAAGGAGGAGCTGGGTTAGTTTCTTTGAAAAGAGGGCAGAGAAAGGGCTCTTTCTTTGCTACAAACTCCTGCTAATCAATTATTTTGGGCCAGAAACAGATAAAGCAACTGCATCATCAGAAGCAAAGCCAAGGAGGGCTTGGGAGTTGGAGCAGCTCTTCACCAGACAGAGAGAAAGGCAGAGAGACCGTCCCGTCCCTCCCCTTCTGGCTGCCCAAGAGAGAAAGAGTGGAGAAAGAGGATGACCGTCAGGGACCACTAAGGAGGAACCAAGGGCCCAGCAGAAGGCATTTCAAGTGTGTCGCACCGAGGAACCCACTCAGGAACAAAACGTACATGCAACAGAGCCTGCAACTTCAGCCTTTAGATTGGAGAACTTCTGGCCCTGCCTGTCTGTTCAGAGACAGACCCTTTTCCCTGGAAGGAAGACCTGGTGCCACAGATATCTCGGAGGGTCCACCAACTCAGGTGAGTTCCTGGGATGCGCTCCCTGTGCTTGTCTTCTCCAAACGCCAAGTAGTTATCCAGAGAAAAACGCCGTGCTGGGCTCTGATTGCTTTCCCTCGGTTTCCTTCTCCAGCCAGGACCCCGCAGAGTTGTTAGGATGCCCATGTCATCTCCCGCAATGCTGCTGCATGACCCCCCCAACGTCACAGCCGACGTTCCGGAAGCCAACGGGACCAACGGGACCTCCTGCGGCCACAAGCGCACCGTCGTCATTCCCAGCGAGCTCTTCCTGACGCTGGGCTTGCTGAGCCTGGTGGAGAACGTGCTGGTCATGGCGGCCATCGTCAAGAACCGGAACCTGCACTCGCCCATGTACTACTTCCTCTGCTGCCTGGCCGTCTCGGACCTCCTGGTGAGCATCAGCAACTGCGTGGAAACCCTCTTTATCCTCCTGATAGACCACCGGGTGATGATCCTGGAGGACGCCACGGCGCGCCACATGGACAACGTCATGGACGTGCTCATCTGCTGCTCCTTCATGGCCTCGCTGTCCTTCCTGGGCGTCATCGCCATCGACCGCTACATCACCATCTTCTACGCCTTGCGGTACCACAGCATCATGACCATCCAGCGGGCGGTCATCATCATCGTGGCCATCTGGGTGATCAGCACGAGCGCCAGCACCATCTTCATCGCCTTCGACGACAACAAGAGCGTGGTCCTCTGCCTGCTCACCTACCTGCTCTTCATGCTGACCCTCATCATGGGGCTCTACATCCACATGTTCGTGCTGGCTCGCCGGCACGCCCGGGCCATCTCCAGGATGCACCGGAAACACACGGCCCCCCAGGCGACGAGCATGAAGGGGGCCATCACCCTCACCATCCTGCTGGGGGTCTTCTTTGTCTGCTGGGGCCCCTTCTTCCTCCACCTGATCCTCTTTGTCACCTGCCCCACCCACCCCTTCTGCAACTGCTACTTCCAGTACTTCAACCTCTGCGTCATCCTGGTCATTTGCAACTCCGTGGTGGACCCCATCATTTACGCCTTCCGCAGCGAGGAGCTCAGGAAAACCTTGAAGGAGGTGGTGATGTGTCGCTGGTGAAGACGGGAGGGGAGGCTGGGTGTCGTCGAGGGGGGGGGCGCCCGAGGAGCAGGAGCTGGGGGGGCCTCCTGGCAACCTGACGGACAGCGCCCCCTGGCGCTCCGGGCTTGGCGAACCGTGCCAAGGAGGACGGAAGCCCTCCCACCGCTGGCGGAGGTGGGGAGAGAGTGTTGGGCGTGGCCTGTTTGGCTTTCTGGGGACCTGCGCAGTAGAGGCAGGGCTCAGATGCGGCGAGTCTTTCGTCTTTCCCCTGTTCCTGTTCCAGGCGACCGCGATCCCCCTCCCGCCCAGCAGAGAAGATGCTTTGGTGCCGTGCCCCCCTCCCGCCCCTGGGTTTCTGCCCAGCAGAGAAGATGCTTTGGTGCCGTGGTCTGCGTGTGATATCAGAGAACTCTGTGTGTGTGAGTGAGTGAGAGAGTTTTGCATGTCAAGGATCAGTCCAGGCCCTCCAGGGTCATCCCGGGTAACAGTAAAGAAGACTGTTTCTGAGCATGTACTGAGTTCGCGTCCCTTGCAAACCAGCCACACAGGCTCCATGCCTGTGTCCCTAGCAGAGGGGTGTCTGGCACTGGTGCCCCACCCATCCCCTTTCTAAGGACGCTGCGGCTGACGGTGAGCCAGCAAAGCTCCAGGCAGCAGCCAAGGCGCGTGTGCCTGCAGCCCTGGAGACTTTCCACAAGGAAGCCGCCCGCGGAACGATCCCTCCCTCTTCTGCTGGAACAGCTGCCAAGCATCCATTGCAGATGGGGTGATGTTGCCTGCTGTAACCACCAGAAATGCATCTCTCGTGGCTGCGCGGCGCAATGGTCAGAGAGCCAGACTAGGACTGATGGAAAGAGAGCCTGAATCCCCCCCCCCCCTGCCATGAAGCTCACTGGTAACTTTGGGTCAGTAATTTCTTCTGCCTAACCTACCTCACAGGGTTGTTGTGAGGGTAAAATGGGGGGTGGGGGAGAGAGCTCCATATGCCTCCAGGAGGTCTGTGCAGGATCGGCAGAACAGAAATGACAAAGGAAGATACTGCAAACCGGCATGTCACAAATAAGTTAAACTCCCCCCCCCCCCAATGTGGGCCCTGCACAGAAATGCCGCTCAGGGCTGACATGTTCGGGTTCCCAGTTGAGAGTGCATGCTGCAGGGTCTCGGAGCATCGCTTCCTCCCCCCTCCCCGAGGTGGGTGTCCATCCCACCCCCACTGCTAGACAAGGCTTTGTGTTTTGGCCCCAGAATGGAGCTAACCTGGACTCAAAGATCTGTTAGATGGGATACAAGCTTATCCAGGAAAACTGTGCCTTGATATTGGCATATCCTTCCTCACAGGGTTGTTGTGAGGATAAAACTGAGAAGAGGAGAATGATGTAAGCTGTTATGGGACTCCACGGGAGAGAAATGAAAGATGTAAATGAAATAAAGAACAAATGAGCCACAGGTCTAATCGACCTAGGCCAAACTTAATGTTACAGTAGAAAAGAGTAAGAGTCCAGGAGCACCTTAAAGACTAACCAAATTTGTGGCAGGGGAGGAGCTTTTGGGAGTCTGAAGAAGTGAGCCGTGACTCACAAGAGCTCATACCCTGTGTGGAACACCCCTGTCCCCACTCTGAGTTTTAAAAGTGTGGGTTTTCTCTCTCTCTGGAAGGGACAGGGAGCCAGTTCAAATACCTGCCTTATTATTACATTTATACGTATGCTAACAGCCCAGGTAGAAAAACTAACTAAGGCCTTTAGTGCCAGGACTGGCCCGTAGCCAGGATTTCTAAAGTCAGGGGGCATTTCAATTCCTTAGGGGGCACTGGCTAATCGAACGAAAGGTAATTTAATTCAGTTTCTGGGGGAAATAGAGAGGTGCTGCCTGGCTCCCCATGGCCACCGTAGCTGGCCCTCCATGCCAGACGGCTGAGCAGGAATACTCAGCTCCTTCCCTGCACCCGCCACTGCTCAGAGAGCCCTTGGCTGGATGGGAAGTCGTGGGGCCTTGCCGGTAAGTCAGGGGACCTAGCCCCGAGAGGCACCACCGTAGCTACGGGCCTGTGCCAGGAAGTCTCCAGGTGATTCCTGGAGATTTCCCAGAAGGTTTCCCAGGAGGGCTCCCAGGATGCACCTGTGAACCTGGGAGGACTGGCTCAAGAGGGTGGAGGAAGTGATGTAAATGAGGTGGAGACACGGGTTTATGACTCCGGTTGCAAAAACAGTAAAAGACAAAATAAAGTAAAATCGAATGGACAGATAAACAAATGGGGCCATAATGAGCATTGCCAGAAAGAAACAACCAGTAAAAGGCTTGGCTCATGTTGTGTTTTTAAAGCCTTGTCTATTATTACAGTAGGAGGGCTTCTAGTGTCCTGGCCCCACTGGTGGACCTCCTCAGAGCACCTGGTATTTTTGGCCACTGTGCGACTGTGGGCCATTGGCCTGATCCAACATTGGCTCCTCTTATGCTCTCTTAGGTGGTTATGCCTGATAAAAGCCCTTGTTCTGCGGAGCATGGGTCTCTTGATGCTGATTTTTCAAAGGGAACAGACTTCTGTCCGATGGTCAGTCATGGCGGCCGTCTTTTGCTGACCATGTGGTCTCCCAGGTTAATTAATGGGGCTAGAGAGGAACCTTGTAACTTTTTAGACTCATTAGTGCCTGCTCTATTTTAACACCAGTGAAGGTATATGACCAATTTTCTTTTGAAATCTGTTTGCTGATCTAGTGCTGTGCTTAAGGTTGCTTGTAAATATTTTAATTTCAATAAATCTTTTTTTTTTTTACTTTGGAGGTTGGTTCTCAGTCTCTGTAGTTTCCCCCACCGCCTCAGATATGCCAGTGCAAGAGGGGGGGCCCCAGGTAGCGAGGAAAGCAGTCAGTGTCCGCGTGGCTATTCATCCAGGGGAGCCCCAAATTTGTGATGGGTTCCAATGGTAGCCAGTCGCTGGGTAGCAGGAGACACTGAGGCAAGGCCTCTGAGCTTGGAAGGGGAGCCGAAGGTCCTGATCTCTTCCGTGGGAAATCCCTGGAGTGAACAGGTGGTGGCAGTGAGTTACCCTAGTGGAAAGGGGGCGTAATCCCCTCCAGGAGTTGGCAACACCAAGGGGGGTGGGTAGAGCAGGGTCTGCAAGTCAAAACAGGCCTGGTCTGCCACACCCTGCTGCATCTTCCCCATTGGCAACTTTTATTTTGATTTTCATTAAAACTGTTGTGAGGGGGCTTGGGGGGGCACCAGCTACTTAAATGGGGGGAAGCTTCCTGCCCCCCCCCAGCAAGGGCAGCCCTTCCCCGTGGAGCATCTGGCTCCCTCTCTCCCCGAGGAGTTCCAGTGCCCTTTTCTTGTGTTGCTGCACCGGGGGCAGCCTGACCTCCACCCTTAAAAAAGCAGAAACTGCTAGGAAAAACACCATCAAGAAATGCCCTAGCGTTCATAGTGTGAAGAGAGAATCGTAAGTTGTCAGGAGAAATGGATGAAATCAGGTTCCAACGACACAGCCGGCAAACTGAAGAAGTTGATGGAAACGTCTAAGTATCTGGAATGGGCGTTTTTGCGAAGGTTGCTGTTGAAAATGTTTTGAAAACATGGATTCCTCCTACTGAGTTGAATGGACTACTTGGACTTGTATTTATCTTTGAAGAAGGAAGCATTGAACTCTATGCCTCGTTTATAGTATTCGTATGCACTTATTTTGATGTTGTGGCCCCACCAACTTTATAATTGTTAAATATAGTTTATATATTTTGGCATTTCTTGATGGTGCTTTTCCTGGCGGTTTTTGCTTTTTTAAAAATCTTTGTGATGCCAGGTTTCCCAGCTTTTTGGATCTGACCTCCACCCCCACAGGAAAGAACACAGAGACAAACTTCCGAAAAGCAGTTTAGGGGGTATTGATTGGGGACAGATGGCTGCCCATCAGAGCCTCCCCCAAAGAAGCAGCTTCAAGATACTCCCTGCAGGTTTCCCAGAGAGAGAGTCTCCTGAAGGTCTTGCCAGGCGGAGGCTAGAGACCATTTGTGCGGCAGGGCACCTGGCTGGACCTTTGAGGGTGCGTCTCTGTTGGGGTTTTTGAGAAAAATAAAACTTCGTTTTCAGCAGAGATAAAATAGCTTAGCAATGCCAGAGTAAAATAATTCAGACCCAGAGTCCATGTGTGTTTAAAATATAAAGTTTTTACTACAATCTAGCATAGGGAAGGGTAACTGGGATGAAAATAACAACAGAGCTAAATAGCTACGTCTTCACACTACAACGACTAGACTAGAAGAGAGGTAATGGCTGTTCTTCTTGCTGCTTCAGAACTCCAAAAACAAAGACGGGAAGAGGAGCCATAAAATGCTAAGACACTTTGACACTTTGCTTCCAATGAAACTCCTAGATCAGGAAGAATTTTCCCGGGCTCCTAGCATCTAACAAGCATTGGCTAAATGAAACACATGTGACTTCCTGTGACAACACAAACAAACATTTAACCCCAGATACACTGAAGTGTTTTTAACGTGTAATACCCAACAGTCTCTCAGCCCACCTGCAGCCTCAAGGGGCACAGCGGGAAGGCCTGGGAGGATGCGGCAAGTGTTGCAGGCCAGAAGGTCCAGAAGTTAGAGGCACAGAAGCCCTGCTGGGAGAGATGGGTGGAGGGGAGGTCACAGCAAACATCCACA